ACTTTGTGCTGCTCGACCCCATCGAAGGTCCCGCCAAGAACAGTGACAGGGATGTAAGGCAGGATCAACGACTGAGAGGAAATCAAAGCCAAAACGCAGGAAGGCGACTTTGCTGCAGGGGATGCCATCTGCGCCACTTGCCATGGGTGCTGTTTCATGTCTCTATTTGGAAAAACTTCGAAGGATCAGGTAGAGTTCGTGGCCATTACTCGAGCGGCAAGGAGACATCATGGGTCTTGCCTCTCTCCAACAGTTCGTCGCCGTCCACCAGTTGGTTGTACACGTGCTGGCCACCAACCAAGTTGGTGGTACCTCCACCGCGCCGACGCACCCAGATGACCGCCACGAGACCGGCCGCCAGACCCAACAGACAGACGCCCGTCAGCGCCACGCCCGTTCCAACGATGGCCCGTGTCCAGTCCTCTGATGGTGGTGGTACGACGTCGTCACACGTCCGGGCCATGGTGAAGGACACGTTGAACTCGGCCACCATGGGTCCGCGGAAGACGCTGCGCGTGACGTCCCGCACGTGGATGCGGCTGACGACGATCGTGTCGACGACCTTGGGAGGATACCAATCACCGGGCAACGGGCACTCCAGCACCGTTGCCGACAGGGGCCGTCGGCGGCGCTCATTGATCACCTGATGGAGACTGACGTCGGGCGTCGACGTCTCGAAGGCGCAGAAGTAGAGGTGCGAGGGGAGGAAGAAACCCTCGAACCGCAACTGCCGGCCTGCCTTCGTGCATACCTGCCCGCTGGGAGCCTCGAAACCGGTGATAAGCGAGGGCGTGGCGGCCCGCGGGGGGCCGTCGAGGGCCGGCTGCAACGGCCAGCCGGACTCGCGGTAGTGGAAGGCCATGACGAACTCGGTGCCCGCCGGCAAGCGCGCGTCGAACGCTGGCACCGTGCACAAGAGCACCCGCCAGTGGCGTCTGGCTGGCGCCGTGAGCATGATCGTCTTCCTCTCCATCATGGTAGCGTTGTCCACGGCTCCAGAGTCGACGATGGCGGTCCACTGGCACGTGTAGTTGAGGGCCGGCATGTCGAGCGACACATGTGGTGGTGGCGGCGCCTTCTCCCCGTCCGAAGAAGGTGGGAGGGAGAAGGTGAGGGTGAAGTTGTGCTCACCGAACCGGTTGGTGCCGATCGGGAATGCGAAGTCGCCGATTGTCGCGTTGGTGTTGGTGTCGGTCAGCGCCACTGTGAGGTTGGCCTGCACGAGAACGGCCGTCTCTGGAACAAAGTTCGTGAGCCACAGCGACGTCTGCCCAAGGGCGGGAGGATCGATGACGCGGCTTGCCCGCAGGTAGAGGTCGTAGACGCGCACGTGCGCGGTGACGTTGGCGAAGCGGGACGGGTCCGGCCAGAGCAAGTTGAGGTCCGTCCCGCCAGAGGAGATGTCAAAACCCACCTTGTAGTCGAGACCGGGGGCGAAGGGGCCTGATGATCTGCCTGTCCACGCTTGCCACCGCACCCATGCATCGACCTGACCGCAAGTTGTTTGTTTTTTGTGTAATTATTAAGTAGATTATATTTGAAGCGAAAGAGGCACACTGTGGTCCACCATACCGTGGTGCTCATAGCCATGGTTATTGCCATGATGGCTATGACGCCGGCAGTAACTTGGCTGCGGCTCCCTCGCCCACGCGCCTTGAGCACCATGGTGTCGTTTGTTGAGGCTGTAGACTGCCAGCGCTGGTGGTCGTCGAACAACTCGGGGTGAAACGGAGACGGAGTCTCCCGCAAGTGAAAGGGTGTGCGAAGAGTTGTGGTAGGTTGCTCTATTGGAGTTGCACCACGTGTTAATTTACAATTTAATGTAAAGCGGAGATCTTAATATTAATACACTCTCATCGTCGAGGAAGCTCACCACTTCCCCGCTTCCTTCTGGAAGATCGTCGTCGACCTGGCGGCTGATTAAGGTATTCGTTCGTGCTTAGGTCATCTTCTTGACTGCGACGCCCTACCGCGAAAAGGGAGGGGAGGTGCTGCAGCCTCCCACAGGAACTGCGCACGAAAGTAAGGGAGCGCTATTTCCATCTTTCCATCGAAGAGGCCCAACAGCAGTACCGACCCAGCCATTTGGCTTTGTTCGTGCAACGATTAAGTTACCTCCCACAGAAAGCACATCCGTGAGTTCTCTCTGCGTTGAGTGACTGTACTTCTCCCCTCTTCCCTCAGCTTACCTCTTTGGCACGTACTTACCTCTTTTACCGCAGCCCACTGCGAGAACCAAAGAACACTACCAATCTACAATGGAGAAAGTGTTGGAGCTGCTGAATGAGAAAGACGCCTCAAATCCCTTGCCGGGCGGAGTCAAGCATCGCGCTCTGGTGCTGGCCTCTTCCCCCACCGAAGAGGCTGACAAGATCAAGGCGCTGTGCAAAGGGCATTCAGTTCTCTCCAGGCGGCAGTGTACCACCACAAAAATATCTGCACAAGTGGCAGTTCGAAAACCATGTGCAGGTAACGCCGGCCATTCGGTTGCGTTGACAATAACGCTCTAACTCACTCTTCATGTAGTGTCCTTGTGCACTGCAGAGGAACAGACACCATCGGCGGGTGTTGATTGTAGTGGACAGTCTCCGTGAGGATTACGATTTCCCTCCCATTTCTGTGGTGGCCATCTGGTACGTGAGTGATCTTGTATTGTATTGTTACTCTGACTTGTTTTGACGAGTCGTTCTCTCCTTTCACAGCACCAACGTGGTATCTGTGCTCAAGTTCTACCAGTTTATTGGGAGAGGACTGCGGCTTGTCCGCTCTCCCACGGTTGAGCAGAATGTCGACTGTGACATTGTTTACCATGGCGACGCGCATCCACACATCGGGAAGCTTCTTGAGATGACTTTATTTCAGCTTGTCCCTACTTGCTCACTGCCACTTCTTACCTGCTTTGTCGCGCACAGGTGGTCTAGTCGGAGAAACTCATCCCGCAACACTTCCAGGACGACTCGTCCAGCTCGTCGTCCAGCTCGTCTGGTCGTGTCTATCTGACGTCTTCCAACAACATGTTCCTTCTACGATAGTAAACCACTTCTTGCCCATGAGTTGTTCTGAAGAAAAATGTCTGACTTATTGCGCGGAGAGGTCGCGAAGCTTGTGGAGCTTGGTGGCCTCGGCGTCGAGCACCTCGTCCCGACACACGACGACACATCGACGACAACTCTCACGGAAGCGGACCAAGTCTCATGGGCCTTCTCTCGGAGCTGAACACACACTCGGGAGCCTGCTGGAAACCGCTCGCCGACGATTCATCCAGACGTCGGAGGCCGCGGTATTGTGGTTTTTAACATTTACATTATCATTTTGGTCACCAATAACTGACTTGTCACTACGGGCGCGCAAGCATGGCCTTCATGTCGGCCTGCACGTTGTTGATCTGCTTGACGCCGTAGGATTTGACCAGGATGTCGAGCATGGCGGGCGTGGCGAAAAGCCGGCAGCTGAGGTCCGAGGTAGACGTTCTTGATGCCGAGGTGGAGCAGGGTGAGGAAGACCGC